TTCTTATATAGCTTGCTTCTCAGTTCTTCCTTCTTAATTATTGTAATTCAGAGTAGTAATACTTGTATAACTTCAGGAGCTTTATGGTGTTCCTGCTATATTAAGTATTACTATATATAGCATTAAACATGACTACAGTAGTAAGCATTGCTACAGTGTTATCACAGTAGTAAGTGTTGCTGCAGTGTTATTACTACAGTATTAGGCGTTGCTAGAGTAATAAGTAATTACTGCAGTATTAAGTGCTGCAGGGTTGTTACCGAAGTATTAAGTGTTGCTGCGGTGATGTTACTGCGGTATTAGGTGCCGCTAGAATAATATATAATTGTGCAGTATTAAGTGTTGTTGCAATACTGGGGTTGCTACAGTATTAAGTGTTGCTGCAGGTACTTAGTACTGCAGTTATAAAGTGGAACAATCTCTTGCTGGTGATGTAGTCACAGCTGCTGCCTCAAGCACCGAATTCTCTGTCTGGGCTAAGCACAGACCAGATAGTCTGTGCTGTGCTCGGAAAGGTGACCTGGCACCTCTCTGAGGGAGAGGGCTGTCAGCTTGCAAACATGCAGAGATTGAAGTGGAAGCTGATGCAGTTGTCAGTGTGACCAGCGCAGTGTGTGTTTCCACCAGTTCTCTCCCTGGACGAGTCCCTTTAAGATAATACGAGTCAGATGCTTCAGACCAGTAAGTCGTCCTCAATAGAAGTGATTTTCCTGGCCCATGTGTTTCTACTGCTATTGTCACCTGGCACAAGAGGCGCTCGCTGTGGGCGGAAAGTGCAGCCCAGTGCTGGCCTCGTGGATGTCCCTTAGCCTCTGGCGTTGGTGTCTTCATTTTCCAGGTGAAGAAGGAGGAGTGACTCCCAAGGCTCTTCTCTGCCCAGGTCCTGATGTTCGGGGACATGGTCTGAGCCCTGCCCCCCAGCAGCTGGCTTGGAGGCATGACCCCTCGGTGGCCCGTAAACCCCCCGAGACTTGTAGCCAACATAGATTCTGTCCCACAGCAGTTTAATGTGCCAGTCTTCCTGCCGAGACGTGGATTGCTGGGGTCATTTCACCGTAACCTGCTCAGCGTCCTCATGTGGAAATGGCAGGGTGTGAATCTCCTTTAGTCAGAAAGGGGACAGCACACACTTTGTTGAAAGCCAGATGCTGATAGAACCAACCCTAAGACAGGTCGGCCCGTGCCACAATGTCAAATATCAGCCAGCCTGGCTGGTGTGGCTCAGTGGGTAGAGTGTCAGCCTGTGGACCAAAGAGTCCCAGGTTCAATTCCAGGCAAGGGCAGGTACCTCGGTTGCAGGCTCCTCCCTGGCCTAGGCTCTGGTCAGGCACGTGCAGGAGGCAACTAATCAATGTTTTTCTCTCTCATGGATATTTCTCTCTTTCCCTCTCTCTTCCACTCTCCCTCAAAAAAAGAAAAAAAAATCAATGGAAAAATATCCTCGGGTGAGGATTAACCAACCAACAAACAAATCAGCCAGAAGGGGTGTTGGCATGTGGGGATTTCGAGTCGTTACTTCTATGGCAGGGCTCCTAGGGCCAAGGAGGAAACAGTTCATTGAGATAAAGTGCACACATGAAAAAGTCAACAATAGGAGGTCTTGACAAAACTGATGCTCAGTGTCTAATGGTGCAGGGTTTGGTTTTGTTTGGTTTTGTCTGTTGTCAAGGTTGTGGGCACCTTTAAAAACATTGTTTTTCGTGTGCTTATTGCCCATTTTTATATCTTCCTTGGAGAATGGTACAGAGTTCTTAAAGGTAGAGGACCCTGAATTCTAGACTGAGCAGGAATGACTTTAGGGAGAAAGCAGAACTTGAGATCCAGCCAGTGCAGTCATGAGTGGATATGGAAGTGTAGGGTGCAGAGACGGAGAGGCAGCCACACGCAGGGTGAGTGTGGCGCGCACAGCCCCTGCGGTGGACGGGGCACCCCCCTTCTTCATGGGCAGCGTTCGCCTGCAGTCACTGGCCCCTCATCGGCAGACGTGATGGTCACAGAGCATGGGTTTAGGAGGGCCCACACTCCCCACACATGTTCCCAAATTGTCTTCCGAGGCTTTGCTTGGACATGTTCCGACCCACTGGTCTCAGCCCAGGACGGATGCAGATCTGAGCAGGCTCCTGAGCCACGGGCTATTTGACACACACAGTGGAGTCTGTCCTGGGGGCTTGGGTGTGGCGGTCACTTGGACAGGAGGACCAGGCACTGGCAGTCAGTGGAGTGGATCGGAGAGGGCAGAACAGGTGTGTGCAGTTTGATTGACAGCTTACACTGATGGACACCGAGGAGCCTTGAGCATCAGAGCCTGTGAGCGGCAGAGGCTCTGAAGTTGGAGACCAGCTCCTCCCAAGCAGCTGAGCATTTGAACCCAGTGATTTACCAAATGCAGGTGACACTCGGGAGTCTTCCTGCTCCGCTCTGCACGTGGCAGCCCCCACGGGAGGCCTGAGCAGCACGCGGGCCATCTTGACATCTGGGGGAAGCAAAGTGTCTGGGTGAGGAAAGACTGCAGCAGAACTCCCAACTCAGAGCTGGATTTGTGCCACTAAAGAAGGATCCCACTGCCCAGCTGAGGAGGGGCATTGAATAACATCACTGAAGAGCAGAGAATCAGCAATGACCGCCTTTCCCAGTGCCTGGGTGATCGGGGTGAAGAGTGGGCCTGGTGCCTGTGCCAGCGAACCACACGGTGCAGGCAGCTTTGATGCAAAGGAGACGTGTCAGACAAGGTCTTGATGAGCTGAGAAGAAGGATACAAGCCATGGAGAGGTGACGAAAGCTCTGTGACCCACAGAGTCATGGGCAGACCCTGGAGGAGCAAAACTACAGACTCCCTGTTACACTTACTGACTCATCACTAGGACAGACACGGGGTGGACACTGAACAAGGCGCTCGCATCCAGCCCGTCCGTGAGAGGAGCGGCTGGCGTGGCTGAGATGTGCAGCTCGCTCTGCAGTGCTGGTGGCCAGGAGGTAATTCAGCATCACCGGGCAGCAGGCTGCGAGGAGCCGGTGTTTCAAGGCCGGATCGTCTCCCGGGGTTGTGGACTCAGATGCTCCCCAAAACACGTAAGAGTCACATAAAAGAAATCTCAGCATTCTGTTTAGTTCATGTGAGAAATGCCTTGTGCACCAGCATTTGTTTTCTTCAGTGTTTTCTGGTCATAAGTGGTCTTTTTTGACTGTATGTTTGTAAGAGAGGTGGCCTCTGGGATTTCAGAGGCCAGTGGCATGGCCTGCATCCTGCTCTCCATCTCCAGCTTCACACCTCCCGCTGCCCAGGCACCTTGCCACGCCATCCTTACATGCAGGTGCGATGGCAACGTCGAGTAGTCCTTGTCCCCTGCACGGAAGTCCGCAGTCCCACAGCCAGTCCCCAGGGTCTGGCCTGCCTCGTGCCCAGCCCCCACCTCCCATCCCCAGCCCACCCGCCTCCTCGTCCTCTGACTCCAGAGCTGTTTCTAGTCTAGTTTCTGAAACCGTCTCCCTTCTTATGTCCATGTGCAACTTCTGTCCTGCGTAAGATGTTTGGAAAGAGCCTCTTCTCCACGCAGCGTGTGTGTCTCCTTCAAAGCCATTCCCAGCGCCACCCTGGCGGGGCCTCCCTGGCTCCTGGACTGGCTGCTCTTGTTTTCATGACAGAGTGCCTGTTTGCATAACATTTATCACGTCGTTCGTTCATCCAACAAACTGTTCGCCGAGTGCCCACCGTGCGGCCGCGTGCAGGCACCAGGGGAGCAGTGAGGAGTGGGTCGAAAGCAGTGGTGCTGGCTTGTCTGAGTCCCCAGGCAGAGGTGCCTGAGGGGGGACTTGGGTCTCTGCCTCTGAGTCTCCAGTGATGCTAAGAGCCCACCCAGAGGAGGTGCCTAGACCATGTGCTGGACGGGCGTGACCGAATGCAGATGTCACCGATACCAGGTCCAGACATAGGCTCGGGGGCCAAGATCCCCTCCCAGAGCTCTGAGTGCGGAGGCCACACGTCTTCGTCTAGACCAGCGGTTCTCAACCTTCCTAACGCCTCGACCCTTTAATACAGTTCCTCATGTTGTGGTGACGCCCAATTCCATTGTTACAAATTGAACATAATTAAAGCATAGTGATTAATCACAAAAACAATATGTAATTACATATGTGTTTTCCGATGGTCTTAGGCGATTCTGTGAAAGGGTTGTTCGACCCCCAAAGGGGTCGCAACCCACAGGTTGAGAACCGCTGGTTTAGACCATGGAGCCTGCCCACAGCCCTCTGGCTTCTCTGTCTCCCCTGCTTCTCCCAGGACAGACATGGGTGTCCAGGAAGAAAGCCGTAACTAGCAACAGCTTTGGAAAACTGCCTTTGTGCCAGGAGAGGCGTGAGCCCTGCTGGAAAGGTCTCACCAGGTTTGGGCCAATGCGAGCAGTTCCGTGGTGACTGCCAGTAACGCCGAGCTCGCTCTGCAGTGCTGGGGGCGGGGCCGGCCTTCAGCACAGTGAGGCTTGTGTGGTTGTGGGTCGCTGTGTCTAGAGATTCATCATGTCTGGAGATTATGCAAATCCGAATCCATGCAATGCTGTTTCATAACATGTCTTTATAGCGGGGGAGTAATTCTTCTTTTCCAGTGCACATCACTGACTGTGTGTGGTCACAGGCTGGTGTCACCCAAGTGCTTCACAGTGCAGCCCTGGGTTTCATAGGAACCTCGGCTGTTATGGGAGCGTAGTACTGAGGGGCTGGGAGGTCAGACCTGATGTTTATGGTAACCAGACAAACCCAAGCCAGGTTTCTTGGTAAAAATCTCACCAGCAGCTTGTGAGATGGCGGTATATGCACGAGCACGGGCGTGCCTGTACCTCTGGCCTCCGTGTGACGCGCTCGTGCTAAACTTTGCTCCCCTGATCAAGGACTCCTGAAGCTCTGCTATTCCAAGACAGTAACCAGGTCTCTCTCCTTCTCTCTCTCTCTCTCTCTCTCTCTCTCTCTCTCTCTCTCTCTCTCTCTCTCTCCCCCCCCCCCCCCAACAGTGTATATGGCTGCCCCTTGGCCAAAAAAAGAAAAACACAGGATAAGCAGCCCCAAGAGCCTGCTCCCAAGAGGAAGCCGTTTGCGGTGAAGGCGGACAGCTCCTCGGTGGACGAGCGCTATGAGAGCGACGGGTCGGATGACACAGACGAGAAGGAGGAGGACGAGGAGGAGGAGGACTCGGAGGATGAGGACGAGCCGAGGGAGGACGAGGAGGAGGACCACGAGGAGGAGGAGGAACTGGAGGAGGAACTGGAGGATGAGGATGATGAGGACGGGGAGGAGGACGAGGAGGACGAGGAGGATGACGAGGACGAGGAGGACGACGAGGAGGAGGAAAACGGTAACCTTAAACCCTAGCAACCCTCCGCGGTGACTTGGGCCCATTCCTCAGCAGGAATTCCTGGTGTTCGTGTTGGTGACACTAGTGATGGCCCCATAAATAGGTCTTTCCTGCCAGTGCTGAGAAGAATGGCCACTTGCCCGTCTAACTTCTGTCGTAAAGAATTCCTCTGACCTGTATCAGATGTTAGATTCTGTTCCACTCAAGTCGTTGCTCAGCTTGGGGGTCACAAAAGCTGGCTGAGATCCTCAGTGTACACATTTGATGAGCTCAGCACTGTATCCAGAAAGTGACGTTCCACACCTGGCTGCTCATTCGGCAAATGCTCAGATGCTCTATCTAGAGGCGCTGTTATTGGCTAAAATAGGGATGTTGGGTGCTTAGTCCACGTGCCTCCTGGGGTGGGCGCTGTGGGACCAGTGGGGCTGCGACGGAGTAGTAGTCTCACCTGTCAATTGCCAGGGCCTTTCTTTAGTGCCTGTCCTGTTGGGACAGAGGAATGAATGGAGCCGTCATCTATGCCCATGTGGAGAGGGTTTCTGCTCTGAAGTGCCGGCGCTGTAGGGGACACACCGTGGGAGCCCGCTTTCCAGGGCCGTGTGTATGTCTGGGGCAGTGTGTTCAAGGTGGCTCTGTTCTGTCTCCAGTTTTCTGTAATTTCCCTCAGAGAAATGCCAAAACCTCTTTCAGAATGAAGGGAATATTTTTTCCTCACGCTTCTTCATCGGGCTTAAAGCCGTTCAGGAAACCGAGTCGGGATGAGCATTTAGATCAGGGGTAAGCGAGTGTCTAGATCAGGGGTGAGCCAGGGGGCGAGCGAGTGTCTAGATCAGGGGTGAGTCAGTTGTTGATCCTTTGGAGTCACAGCAGTTCATTTCAGGAAACCTGAACTTCATGAAACAGTCCAGCTTCTTACAGTGGCCGACAGCCCTTATGAAGACGATTTGCCTCTCCTGTTGACAGAGGTGTCCGGACATACCTGCATGTGCACGTACACACACATTTCATGAATCAAAGTTCCACCTGTGATCATGCAGAGCGTGGGGTGGAGACGCCCTGCCCAGGGGACAAAGCACTTGGTGGATGGAAGCATCCCAGGCCTAAAGAGACAACATTGTCATTAAAGAGACAACAGGGCAGTGTCGGTCTCAGGGTAGGAGCAGTCGCTCTGCAGTAAAAAGGGGAGAGTTGGAGAACAGACCAATTTGGCAAGTTCCTCTGGGCGCTGTTTGAAATGTGTGGTTGGCATGAAATCATGAGTTGTTGGGGCTGACTAATGATTTGTAATTGACCGTGGACCGTTACGAAGGTGGTGGACTATGCTCTTTGGATTCTCATGCTGTTTGGGCAGCAGGGGCATTACGCTGGGAGTCATGGTGTCTGTGTGCGATGATCCGTGTGGGAGAGTTGCATGTGCATCATTGCACCAAGGGTCCCCCCCACCAGGTCTCAGGTGCTACTCTCCGTCTGCTGGAATGAAACTTCCAATTGTAGTTTACTTCGGGTCATATTTTATTTTTTTAATATATTTTTGTTGATTTCAGAAAGGAAAGGAGAGGGAGAGAGATAGAAACATCAGTGATGAGAGAGAAACCCTGATTGGCTGCCTCCTGCACTCCCCCACTGGGGATTGAGCCTGCAACCTGGGCATGTGCCCTGACAGGGAATCAAACTGTCACCTCCTGGTTCATAGGTCATTGCTCAACCACTGAACCATGCTGGCTGGACTGGGTCATCTTATATAATAAAACCCCAATATGCAAATTGACCAAACGTTGGAACATGCACTGACCACGAGGGGACAGACACTCAATGCAGCAGCTGCCCCCTGGTGGTCATTACGCTCCCACAGGGGGAGCGCCACTCAGCCAGAAGCAGGGCTCAGGGCTGGCAAGCACAGCAGCGGTGGCGGGAGTCTCTCCCCCTTCCGCGGCAGCGCTAAGGACCCCTCAGGGGATGTCCACCGAGGGGTCCCAGACTACAAGAGTGCATAGGCCGGGCTGAGGGGCCCCCACCCCCAGTGCATGAATGGTACTTAAATACTCTTTAGTATTTTAAATAATCGACTTTTAAGGTACAAAACAGATCCATTTTGAAAGAGCAGTCAGCATTATTGAAATGGCTTTGCAATGAGACTGTGTAGGGCTTTTTATTCTGACTTAGAGCATCACTGTTTAAAGTCAGAGAGCAAATCAAAACTGATGCCTTTCTTTAGAGAACCAGCACATGGGCAGGACGATGGCTGTGGCAGCACTGTGAGCAGGCAGGGCCAGCACTCAGCAGGGATGGGGCTGGCACCCGAAGCTTACTGGGATGTGGGTTCCCGAAAGCAAATACCCCTTCAGAGATAAATAATCAGTTTCTGGTTCCTGGTTTCAGAACTCAAGCTGCGCATCCTGATCTCCAGGTAAGCGCCTTCTAGAATAATCTATGACATCAACGTTGAGGGATTTGCCAGGAACTACTAAGGGAGGCTCAGTGGTGGAAGGTGTTGCGAGGTTACTACGTGCTGCTGTGGTGAGAATCCCGCTCCCGGCCTCCTCGCAGAGTGTGATCGCGGACTCCCTCTCAGATGCCGCCCCTGCAGCCCCGCATTCCCGGAACGTTCAGATCTCAGGGGATGGCATGGGGCACCTTCCATGGCTCTGTGGCTGCCAGGGCTCCGCAGGGGCCCCAAGTCTCGCTTGATTCCTAGTCCAAGGAAGGTACCCCCCAGCCCCTCGAAGAAATCACTGCAGAACCTGGTTCCTGAGGCGGGTTCCCCTGCCTTCTCTGTTGTGGGGAGCAGTTTCCCCTGGGGGAGCCCCACCAGCAGGTGATCCAAGACCCCACTTAGCCACTGCTACATGGAGCTATTCCAGGGGATGGCACTCCAGCTATTTCATAAACCCCAGGGTCAGAACCTTCCGGAGGACCCTAGACCAAGGGGCCTGGACAACTTTGTTGATAGAATACTCGTTTTTCATGCTCACACTCCGAGCTACGTCTCATTCAGTAAATGAGGCTTTGAAAGGCAGATAGCTGTCAATCTCCTGTTTTGATAGCCTCACTTACCAAATTGCTGTTTTGCCCCACTGCTCCATTCAGCACCAGAAGCACTGTCGGCAGGTGGGACTTCTGCGGGGGTAGCAGTGTCCAGGCGCGAGGTGCGGGGGCTTGCAGGGCCTCTGTGGGTGCTGCATCCTCTCCTGCGCGCTGGGCAGACAGCAAGCATTTGCCTGTAACAACCAGGGGTCTGGGCCGCTGCCTCGACGTCGATCTCTTAGTTCCTTGGTTACACTCATGGTGACCCTTACAGCCCTGGGCCTCCAAGGCCACTGTGCCTTTTGCTTAGCAGCTAGCAGCGCAGACAGCAGCCTGTGTCAGCAGAGAAGCAGAGCCGTCCTGCGGCGGGAGGAGCCTCTGGACCGGACCGTGTGAAGGGCTGGCGCCACGCAGTCCACACACAGCAGGTGGTCCTCTGGCAGGAACCCGGCATCCGGGTGGGGCCGCAGGGCCCAGTGGCGATCACGTCTCATTGTCTCTACCAACAGGCTGCTGTTTCTCGTCATCTGTGTGGCATTTTCCCCTCAGTTATATGTTGAAATGTGGAGTTTGTTGACAGGTTCAAGTAAAACAAGTATATACAAACCAACAGTTGCTGACACTAGCAGCCCACAGATATAGAAGGACGCCCGTTACAACGCCGGGAGGGGTATTTATTTTTATCCCCAGGGCCCTCCAGCATCGCAGCCACAATGAACAAGATGCTGCTGGTAGTGACTGCCTAAGTGGGCGCAGCAGTGGGCCCTGCAGGAGGCAGGCGGGGAGAAGCTGCGTCCCTGTCGGGGGCCTCGTCAGGCACGAAGGTCAGAGGCAGAGGCTGTGCTCGGTGAGCGCTGGGTCCAGGTCGTGGTTCCCTCGCTGCAGAGCTCAGCTGCTTTTCATCCCTTTCTCTCATAAGAACGAGAGGGAAGACTGTCTCAGTGGTCAGGTGACACGAAGTTCACATTTAACTAATTAAGTGATATTCATTGTCCAGTGGCATATCATAGGCTGTTTTTTTGCATGGAAAATTTTATTTTCAGAACATTTTAATGGTCTGAGTGTGCATTTATTAAATAGAAGTTTCCTGGGCATCCTGAAGATAAGAAAGTTACTACTCAGGGGTCCCAGACTTTTCTAAGAGCAGATTTTGGACTCTTGTGATTTGAGAGATACCAGTTAAGTGGCTACTTAATGCCTAGTAAGTTATGGTTTACTTTCATACTCAGCCCACTAAAAAGACAGCACCTTAAATAATAAGAGCACACGTGTGTACCTTAGGAGTCACCCTGCACCTGCCCACAGGAGAGAACCCAGGAGAACAGGGTGACCTGTGCAGGCTGAGCACACTCTTGTTGCCGCCCCCACCACACTGGGTCGTTTCTGACACACGTGCGGACGTGGACACCCTTCTCTCCTGCTGAAGCTCGGGCCGTCTCAGGCAGTTGGCTTTGCAGGACGTGCACGTGACCCCTGGGTTAGACGGGTGGAACTGGAGGCCTCCCGTCCGACAGGCTCACTGGCCTCCGCACGCTCTCAGGATGCGGGGACCTAAGATGTGTGGCGCCTGCCCAGGAGTTTACATCCAAGGGGCAGTGGCGGGAAGGTGCGGATAGTCATGCTGAGAACCTTTTGAAAGGAGGACAGGGTTGCGCTGGGCACGGCAGAGCAAACTGAGTGGTCAGGACGGGAATGTGTGGTGTGGCCTCCGCAGCGTGTCCGTTACCCAGTGTCCTGCGCCCTTCCCTCCCCCGCTGCCATCTTCAGAAGCTCTGGACAGAGCCTGTCCCTCTGGGCCTGGCTGTCCTCACTGCCCGCCCACAAGACGGTCCTGCACATGAGTCCTGCTAATGGGCCATTTCCTCTCTGCAGTAAGTCAAACAAATTCAAGACAAAATCCCCCCTGTATAAATTTCTCCTCACAGAAACAAATTTTTTTAAAAAATTGCAAAATTTCCGGGACACGTTTTCTTTCT